CACTTTTGGCTTCCTCGAGGCCAGAGAGCACATTACTGATTTCATCCATGTGAATGGGCGCGTGGTCCCAGACCCATAAAAAAAAAGGAGGAGATCACGGACCAGAAGGAATTACCACAGCAGGAAAAACAGCAGAAAATGCAGGAATTGATAAGCCAATTTGAGGAGTGGCTAGGACAGAAGAAAGCTGTTGCATATGTAACTAACCAACACCTTACATGGAAGGACTGGAGGAAGGATGAAGCAACATGCAAACGCGACCTGCCAGCCTATTTATTTTTCCTACTTCAGCCGTTCCCCTCCCCGCTCCCCCCTAATTCATCCAGCTGCCCCTTCTTCACCCCACTCCCTCACCACCCTCATCCGCCCTAGCCACCTCATTGGTAAGCAGTAACTGCCTCCTGCCCTGAGTCCGCAATAATACCAAGAAGTATAGAGCCAAGTACAGAGTTTTCAGCACTCAGGAGGTCCAGATCGGCAGGGTATGATGAAGGGCCTTAAAACAAAGGGCCTTAAAACAAAAAGGGAAGGTTTGGAAAATTAGAGACCAATATGTAAATAGCGGATATAGATTAAAGGTAAATTGTCCTCCTTCCAAGCAGGGGATATGGATTTGATTCCCGTTATCCGCGATGGATGGTCAGGAGCCGGGGCCACATTGTACAAGGCTGGGACACTGGACCTGGTTTCCAGCAGGGGTACATTGTAAAAGAAGGGGATGCTGGACCCATTTTCCAGCAGGTGCTGCTCCCCACCAATAGATTGGAGACATCCATTGTGCAAGGCCTTAATCTTGGTGGTTCACTCACCACCAGCAGAATAGTGGGCTTGCACTCAGACGATTTTACTACGAAAGTACCGATGCCCATGGTGTCAAACCGGGTGTCATATTTGCAGGGGTCAGCCGTGGTGTCAGAGGGGGAAACAAAAAAAAAAAAAAAAAGCCCAACAGATACTTTTGGACCAAAATTGCTCACTTCGAGTGGGCGTGTGGTTTATTTGCGGGCACGAGTTTTCTTTGCCGTTAGGGTTTCAAACCGTGCCGTGTCCACCGTTATTTCAAAAAAAAAGAACAAGGTAGGCCTAGAGAACATCTTATTACTCAAATTTCTAGCCATCTTTCCAGAAATCTTTCCTATAAATATCACTATCTTATTACTTATCTTTTTTTTTTTTTTTGCCTTGATATTTCCAATAAGAAGATTGAGGCCGGGGTCCTCACAATCTACCCGGAGTGACGGAACCGGACTTGCTGAGAACCGGGCTCAGCGTCCCTCTTAAGATGATGATGATGATGATGATGATGAGCTTCTGTTGATTCTATATGAAATGTGAGATAATCATACTAATGGTGATAATCTTAATGATGATGATGCTAATGATGATGATGATTAGTATATATAAAAATATAGAAGACGGTGCTATATCAGCAATTCTGGCCTCCTAATCCTATAACAACTCCTAGCCCTCCCTGTACCAGGACATTGCAACTCAGAGACAATACCACCTAACCGACATCAACCATATCTGACCTCTTCTCGCCACCTGGACTATCCCCGGCCCCATATGTTGTCAAGGCAGCCCCCCCCGGTTCGCCACTGGATTGCCTTCCTCCCTCAGCAAACCCCAGATCTCTCAACAAGGCCTCACACTCCTGCCATTTGCAGGTTACAGGGCAACGCTCCAGCTCCAGCCAGCGTCGTTCTGGCATCGGCAAACCAGGGGCTCAGAAAAGAGCAACTCTGTAGATATCAGTCCAGGTTCGACCATCTCTGAAATCCTATATCCCGAATGAGGAAGAAGGCCAGATGCTGCAAAAAATTACAGAAACCCAGAAAGCTTAATATAACATGATTGGAAACTATGGAATTTCTTTTTTTTTATAATGATGATGATGATGTTTCGTATGTAGAATAAAAAAGAAGACTATGCTATATCAGCAATTCTGGACAACTCCTAGCCCTCCCTGTACCCGGACATTACATCTCAGAAACAATGCCATCCTAACCAATGTCAACCATAGCTAACCTGTTCTCGCCACTTAGACTATCCCTGGACCCATAGGTTGTCAAGGCAGCCCCCCCCGGTTCACCACTGGATTGCCTTCCTCCCTTAGCAAATCCCCAGAACTCTCTACAAGGCCTCACACTCCTGCCATTTGCAGGTTACAGGGCAACGCCCCAGCTCCGGCCAGCGTCGTTCTGGCATCGGCAAACCAGGGGCACAGAACAGAGCAACTCTGCAGATATCAGTCAAGAATCGACCATCTCTGAAATCCTATATCTTGAATGAGAAAGAAGGCCAGATACCGCCAAGAATTACCGAACGCCAGAAAGCTTGACATGACATGATTGAAGACTTATGGAAATAATCTCCCCCTCCCCTCCTTCCCACCCTATCCAAACGTTGCCTCCATCGAAACGGATTACCCAGATAGCAGGCATCCCATCTCAGCCCCAACTTGGGACAGTCCCTATCCCCCCCACTTATCCCACAGAGGCATACAATTCCCTCCCAAAGTATGTCTCTGTCCATCTTTTATCCTAATCTGCCCCCGCTGGGATGTGTACCCCAACCCCAGAATAGAGCAACCCACTTAATCTGCTCTCACCCCCTTCAGGGCTTCATCCCCCACCTGGCGTCGCCTCTGCAAAGTGGAGCTCTCCCCCGTTCAGTCCACCTTCCTTCGATCAAGAAAATAACGTCGATGCTCAGAGAGGAGAATAGAGATACCAGTAACAGTCATTCGAACCAAAGAAAAAACATGGAACGTTAAAAAATTGAAAATGTAGACTTGAGAAATTTTAAATACCAGGATTGATAAGAGTCAGCATATGGAAACAAATGCAGCGAAAATAAAACCATAGAAAGTGAAAATGCAGATTGGAGATTCAGAAATTCGAAATGTAGTAATCTAGGTATAAAAACCAGGGACGCTGAGCCCGGTTCTCAGCCAGAGTCGTGCGATCTCTCCGGGTAGACTGTGAGGACCCTGGCCTCAGCATTCTCATTGATAATATCAGCCTTGGGCACTGGGCCCTTTTTAAAAAAAAARAAAAAAAAAAAAAAAAGGTATAAAAAATACCAATCACGAAAATTCGAAATGTAGGAATCTAGGTATTTAAAATACCAATCAGCTTAGTTGTAGGAGTTGAGAGTTATGATGATTCTGGAATATTTGAGAATATTATAAATTCAGAAATTTAATATGGATATTTAATTAGGATATTGTTTTAGGATATTATTTTAGTTGAAAGAGTAAATTGGTTATTAGGATGGTGATATATATGACCATATATGATGATTGTATGTTGATTAATTAGTTAATTAGTCAGTTAGTTACAGCACTTCAAAAAGATATGAGTATCCACCATTAGTGCGTAATGTGGGTAGAGGCCACTTGCTAGAGAGAGCTTGTGTCCCATTCTAAAAACATTTGAATCAAGTTATCGAAGAATTGTGCCCTTGGCCTTGGGCTGGTGTACACTTGCTTGGTATAGACGAGAGACTTGAGATTCGTGGTTCACTTCTTGATTCTATCCTGGCACTCACTATAAGCCACTGAAAATTTTGCAATTTAGTAAGACAAATCGTTTTTTAGAATCATGGTTATTTCACTACACAAATACAAGAATCATTCCAACAAGAAAATAGAATGAGAAACAACAAGGATTTTTTTATAAAATACAAAAAACAGAAATAAAAAGAAAAAAACTTTTAAAAAAGTGATAGAAGAAGGGTTGGTGTACACTTGCTTGGTATAGACGAGAGACTTGAGATTCGTGGTTCACTTCTTGATTCTATCCTGGCACTCACTATAAGCCACTGAAAATTTTGCAATTTAGTAATACAAATCGTTTTTTAGAATCATGGTTATTTCACTACACAAATACAAGAATCATTCCAACAAGAAAATAGAATGAGAAACAAGAAGGATTTTTTTATAAAATACAAAAAACAGAAATAAAAAGAAAAAAACTTTTAAAAAAGTGATAGAAGAATACTTATACTATCTATATTCTTTTGTTTTTAGCTTCAAAGGAGACTGGAAAAATTTTGGTTCATGTGTCAAAGAGGGGTCAAACTACCTACATCACCTAGCCTCTTTTCGTAATGCTTGATTTTTGCCCTCTGATCTGATCAAACCGTTGCGAGGTTACGGCCCACCAGGAACCAGCAACTTTTGGGCCCAGTAGGTTGAACCTGACCACAGACCCATGTTAACTGGTGCATGACAGGGGCCTCAACACAGCCTACCAGTGGCGTAAGCCACCGGTACTCCTTTTTTTCTTTTTTTTTGAACTGGACACGTGCTGGGAACCGGGCCCAGCGTCCCATTCAAAAACATATTGAGAAGATTATGTAAGAAACTTTGAGTTACCGGGGCCATTACCCGGCTTCGGCTAAAGATGATAGCTATGCAATCTACACAGAAAGTTAGGTTCTCTAAGGATTGATCTTGGGAATATTTTCAAGCTCCGCTCAGCGCGGCTTGTGAGAATGTGTCGGTTAACCTGTGTGACGGAAAGGCTCTACATACCAGATTGAAAAGCTGGCGGCGCCCAGTAGGCCCTTGCACCACCATGGCTGAGTACGCCTGGGGAAGGCAAATTTTGACATTGGAGAAAGAGGCCCAGAGGTGATGGTGGTCTAAACCACCAGTACTTGCAAGAATGCACCGGTTAACCTGTGCGACGGAAAGGCTTCGCATAGCAGACATGAAAAGTCGATAGCGCTCAGTAGGCCCTTGCCCAACCATGGCTGAATATGCCCAGGGAAGGCAAATTTAGCATTGGAGAAAGAGGTACAGAGGTGCCCCCCAATGCATTCAGCTATTGGTGGCCCCCGTCCTTCGGGACATCCATTAACATTGGAATTATACAGAAAAGATTAGTGAGGCCCGTGCGCAAGGATGAGACACACAAATTGAGAAATGGTCCTGTGACGCCCAACCTCACGCCCGGCTCGACTTCCTGATCAGAGTGAGAGTGGGCCTGGAAGTGCGAAAAGGGGGTGTGCCAAGGATTTTAGGAAAGTTGGGGGTGGAGTCCCAAGTCGGAACTGAGATCTCCTGTGACAAGTTTCAGGGAGAATGCAAGAGGGTAGGTGCGGGTCGGAGTTCGGTTTTATGCTTCAGAGAACGGGGCTACCGCCTTCGTTGGTCCCGTTGTTTGGGTCGGACTCGTATCTTGTGTACCGTCGGGATGTTGTGGCTGTCTCGCTGGCTGATCACCTGTCATCGTCTAGCGTCGCAGGTCTCGGAATCCGACGTGGACGGCCTCGGCTGAAGGTTGTGCGCCCGCCGTTCTTCCTCCGAGCGGGTTCGTCGGATGAAGCCGAAGGCTCGGTAATCGTGGTCTTGCCGGCACTCCGGGCACGGGGGTTGGGGCTAGTAGGGAGCGATTGCGCGCCAGGGGACGATGGTTAGGGAGTGAAAGGGCAGGATGCGGTGATAGGGACGGAATTCGGTTCCCAGGATAATGATTTCGGGTTCCACGACGACCTGACACGTGTACGAGCTAGGGAAGCTTGGGAGATGCAGGATACGTCCCAAGGCCTAATCAATGTACCACTCACAAATGCGTTCGTTCCCTGTTAAGTAGGGAAATTCTGGAGGTCCGCCCTTGAGCGTGTGGACAAACACGCTTGCTCCCAATATTCTTGGAATTCCCGATCCCTTAGACACTTGCGGTCAGTGATACGGAAGGGGATTTCGATATTCATACTGCAGGGTGGGCGGAAATTCAAACACTCGGGAAGTGGGCCGACTGCAGGTTTTGCAGACACGCGTGTAAGTAACGACCTTCCTCGGTCGGGCTTACACGTGCGTGCACAAGACCTGTCCTTCGGTCGAGTGGATAAGCGTCAGCAGCGCTCAACTGGTACGCACGGGCTCGTTCACCCGAAGGTGAGCAATCCTATCGTGTGACGGACATCCAATCATCTAGCATGCCCATCTAGTTCATACTCGGACAGAAAAGCACCAAACATCCATGCATCTGGCTTCAAACACACACAATTAGCAAAAGGAAAGAGCTGGTAATCATCCATGCATCAAATCTTCGGCCACTGACCAGAGCTCATGCAACCTTCAATCATAGGTGATTAACCAATCAGTGTGGCCAATTCATATAGAGGGGGAGGAAAGTGGGGGAGACATTCACATATTAATCCTCAGGGACGAAACAAAGGACAAATTTGAGATGGTCATCAAAAAGCAAGGGCGACTTGCGCCACATACCAAAATTATTCAGAGGAATAGAAGAAAGGCACCACTCCAACACATCCCGTCTCTCTCTCTCTCTCTCTCTCTCTCTCTCTCTCTCTCTCTCTCTCTCTCTCTCT